TACCCACCGCCGGGCGGGGGGGGGGGGGGTCGACCCCCCCCCCGGGTCAGATACGACGCCCCCCCCTGGGACTCCTCTTCCCCGGGCTCCAGCCAAGCCGACCTTGAGCAACCTCGTAATTGAGTCGAAGGGAAGCCCCTTCCCTTTGATCCCTCCCCCGCCGGGTGGGGGGGGGGGGGTAGCGACCCCCCCCCGGGTCAGATACGACGCCCCCCCCCTGGGACTCTCTTCCCCTGGGCTCCAGCCAAGCCGACCTTGAGCAACCTCGTAATTCAGTCGAAGGGAAGCCCCTTCCCTTTGATCCCTCCCCCGCCGGGAGGGGGGGGGGTCGACCCCCCCCCCGGGTCAGATACGACGCCCCCCCCTGGGACTCCTCTTCCCCTGGGCTCCAGCCAAGCCGACCTTGAGCAACCTCGTAATTGAGTCGAAGGGAAGCCCCTTCCCTTTGATCCCTCCCCCGCCGGGAGGGGGGGGGGGGTCGACCCCCCCCCCGGGTCAGATACGACGCCCCCCCCTGGGACTCCTCTTCCCCTGGGCTCCAGCCAAGCCGACCTTGAGCAACCTCGTAATTGAGTCGAAGGGAAGCCCCTTCCCTTTGATCCCTCCCCCGCCGGGTGGGGGGGGGGGTAGCGACCCCCCCCCCCGGGTCAGATACGACGCCCCCCCTGGGACTCCTCTTCCCCTGGGCTCCAGCCAAGCCGACCTTGAGCAACCTCGTAATTGAGTCGAAGGGAAGCCCCTTCCCTTTGATCCCTCCCCCGCCGGGAGGGGGGGGGGGTCGACCCCCCCCCCGGGTCAGATACGACGCCCCCCCCTGGGACTCCTCTTCCCCTGGGCTCCAGCCAAGCCGACCTTGAGCAACCTCGTAATTGAGTCGAAGGGAAGCCCCTTCCCTTTGATCCCTCCCCCGCCGGGAGGGGGGGGGGGGTGTCGACCCCCCCCCCGGGTCAGATACGACGCCCCCCCCTGGGACTCCTCTTCCCCTGGGCTCCAGCCAAGCCGACCTTGAGCAACCTCGTAATCTCTTGCTGCGCATTGCGAACAGGGTCGGCGGCACCGGCCGTCAGGCCTTCGCAATAAGATCCGCTGTTGGGCATTGTACCCATTCTTTCCGTGCCCATTTCGTTCGTGCAGATCGTCAGCTCGTCGTCGCCTGCCTCGCGTCTTCGCGGGGAGGCCGGTCCTCCAGCGCCACGGACGCGGCCTCGGCAGAGGTCGCCCCGAGGCCGCGCGCGAGGAGCAGGGCCGGCAGGCCGCCGAGGAGCGCCGCCGCCTCCGCCCGCTCCTGCGCGGCGGCGGCGGGTGCCGCTCCCACTCCTGCAGCTTCCCGCCTCCCCCTCTGAGAGGAAGGAGAACTATGCACATGCACCGATTCTGGCCAGGCCCATCCTGAGCCCAGGATCGGTGCATACGCCCTCCTACCTTGGCCAGGAAGGTATGTGCACCGATCCTGGGTCAAGGACGGGCCTTGCCAGGATCGGTGCATGTGCATAGTTCTCTTTGCCCGACCTCTCCCCCCTTCCATTCGTTTTCCTTATAAGCAGCTCCTCCTTGTCGCACCCCGAGAAGTGTCGGGAAGGCGGGCCGGGCGTTGCGCCTGAGGCTCCCCCACGACGTATGATCCCGAAGCTGGATCTGCAACAGTTTCACGGACAGAGGGCGGTCCGTTTTCAAAATGCGTCACTCGCATCAGCGCAGCGCACATTCGACGTAAGATGTTGCCGGAGTCTCGCGGATGAAGGGCGGATGATTTTCAAAATATGGCTCTCGCCTTAGCGCCGCGCACATTCGTCTTGCAAGCTTGACAGAGTTCCACGGATGGAGTGCGTTTTTTGTTCAAAATCTGGCTCTCGCCTGAGCCCAGGGCACACTCGTTCAACATTTACAAAAAAAATCGTGGATTCCCATGGTCAACGTAAAAGACATCATATTGTGGAACGAGTCAGGACTGTCAGGGCGCAACAGTTCCGTTGATTCGCGGTGTTGAAGTCCCAGGAATGGCGTTCTGGTAAGATTCATGATCGTCAAGGCGCAGCAGTCGGGTTCATTTGTGGCGTTGGAATCCCGAGAATATGATTTTGTCACGCTTCAAGATATTCAAGAGATTGTCTCCTAACGAGGCACTTCCCTCAGTGGAAATTAACCCCTGTAGATGCCTATGAAGTCTTGAATTTACAGCGGTCGTCCCCCTCCTCCTCCTCCTCCTCCTCCTCCTCAACCTACTCCTCCTGCTCCCTCCACCGCTCATCCCATGTCGGGAGCCTGTGGCAGGGTCATCAGCTCGCCAATGTCGTTGTCGTCGTGGTCGTCATCGTCGTGGTGGGTCTGTGGCACCCGCCGTAAGTCCTTTACGATCTATGTGGTTTGCTTCCGAGGCTGTCTGGCTTCAGACCACCGTGGGAGAGCTTCACGGAGCCCGAGGAAGCCCCCAGCACTGCCCAAGGCGGACCCACGGCGGCCGCAAGACGGTCCCACGACTGGCCGAAAACATCCCAAGACGCAAGACGGCATCAAAATCCGTCTAGACTTAGGTCGGGCATGTCCTCCTACAGGCGGATTTTGGCCGACAAATACGAATCAGAAATAGTGTAAAAAAACGTCCCCATACGAGTTTTCCATGTTTTTGAATATTCCTCCTGTAAACGGACATGCCCGACGGAAGTCAAGGCGTCCCCAGGATGGCTCAATCGAGCCTCTTTAGGAGGGCTCGATGGATCTATCGCGCCCTGGGCGGCCCCGACACCCGCGACAGGGCCCCCAGCATCCCCCTCAAAACGGCCCCACACGGAGGCTCCAGGGAAGCCGCCGAGTGGCCTGCGAGATGCCTTCAAGAGGGGGAGGGAGGCGATGGGAGGAGGAGGAGGAGGAGGAGGAGGAGGAGGAGGAGGAGGAGGAGGAGGGAGGAGGAGGAGTCCGTAGCCATTTGGCTCAAGGCAATTGCCCGGGGCCTTCGCCTTCCCTGGGGTCGGGGCTCGAGGTGGTCGAGGGACCCGCCAGATCCTCGATCAGTGGCCCTGCCCAGGGTGAGGATTCATTTCGCGATTTCTTCTCCCAGTTTCAGCCCATCCCCCGAAGCAGCGGTTCAAGATTTCCAGAGCCAGCCCTTGCAGTCACAGCGATGGCGTGGAGACAGTCCTGGAACCATGCGAGTGGTAAGGGCCGTGGGGAGGAGGAGACAGGGAATGACAGAGGCAAGCCCAAGACTCAAGGGCGTCCACACGTGGCGCTGTCACCGTTGCGGGTGTAAAAAGACTCCATGGGCACAATGGTACTGCAAGCATTGTAAGAAGTCACGGGAAGAGCAAGGCCGAGGCGAAGATGAGTATCTCGCCCGGGAAGCATACGACAACCCACCTGGGCTAGCACCGCGGGCGGCGGGCCTACAGCCCCCGCCTGGAGTCACGAACAAGGAGCTCGAGCTGTCGGGCGAGGAGGTTGACAACCTGGTCACGGTCGCGAGCAAGCTCGGAGACGGGGCGTGGAGGCCAAGGTCAAGTCCATTCGCGAGTATGAGAAGCGGCTTGCCATGGAGCCGAGAGCGGTGCCTCCGCAGGTGCAGGCCCAGCAGGCACACCAGAAGGTGCAGCACCTGGAGGCGAAGCTCAAGCTCGAGGTGTGCAAGTATGAGCACATCCAGAGCACGTTGCGGGAACAGACCAGCCTGGTGCAGTCCCTCACTGAGGAGCTGGAAGAGGTGGACAACGACTACGAGCAGCTGCTGGACAACCTGCACACCAACGTGGTCGGAGCGCAGGGCGGCTCGGCGCCACGTATCCCACTGTCCGAGCTGTTGGAGGGCGACCTCACATGCTTTGACCTCGGGGAGTGCGAGACGCTCTTCGGCCTTGTGGACCCGACGATGTACGAGATATCGGAGCAGGATCGGCAGCATGCAACAGCACGCAAAGAGAAGATGCAGCAGGGGATCGCAGACTTGGCGAAGACCTTGTTCGGCTCGGCGCAAGAGTTCGCGCAGGGCCTCAAAAAGGCGCATGAGGAGCACGTCAAGCGGATCCCCACCAAGAAGCGGGGGACCGAGGGGCAGACCGCCGAGGCGGGAGCCAGCCAGGCAGGGACCGCCACGGCCTCAGAGGCGACCCCTGGTGGTCCTAGCACTGGCGCTGCTGCTGGCACAGCTCCCGCTGCGGGCGGCCCAGCCGCTGACAGCTGTGGCGGCGGCGCAGCCGACCGCGATCGCTCAGGGACCCCCCAGTCAACGCAGCAGAGCGACGCGCGGCAGGCGGCAAGAGCGGCCCCGGCGAAAGGCGCCAAGGGAGCACCAGCAGGAGGCAAGGGCTTTGCGGGCAGCGCTGGAGGCGCCGCCACGGGCCAGCCAGCCACAGGGGATGGACGGTCGGGGGGGTAGCGGGTCTTGGGCGGGCGGGGGAAACTTCATGGCTACTGGTGGCGTTGAGGCCTGGGCCGCACGTCAGGTGCGAAAGGGTGCTCCTTTTGGCGCGCCACCTACCATTTTCGTTCTCCCCCCGCCGCTGTCCATGCCGCCACCACCGCTTGGCCGCCCCCCTTTTTTCTTTCCCGAGCAGGAGCCCGGATGTCCTGCTGGGGGGCCGCAGCTGCCACAGTATTTATGTTTGAGCAAGACACAATCCAAGAAGCCTGCACGCCAGCAGAGCGCATGCGTTCCTAGGGCTGGCCAGGGGGAGAGTTGTTTCTCGATCGAAACATGCAACACGACGTGCTGGAAGTCGGTGAAACAGTATCCTGAAGGGGAATGCCAGTCTAGCGTAGCTGTACTGCAAGAGATCACCGTGGAGCCTAGCGAGCAGCAAGAGCGAGAGCAAACACTTCGGGGGCTGGGCTGGAACGCCAGCCTGCCCCCATCCATAGTCACTGACGCAGGCGGCCTGTCGTCGGGAGTAGCAATTGCGTGCCAGAAGTTCATCGGCATGGGCACGCCGCCGACGGCTGCGCGCGACCTGCCAGCCCCTCATCGTTAGGCGCTGCGGAGGACCAACACCTTTGTCCCAGGCGGGTTCATCCTAGGCTCGGTCTACCTTCCCGACGCCGACCCGCTAGGACCAGAGGGAAGTCAAATACTCTGTCGTCTTGGGGAACGTCTTCACAGTTGGGTGCTCCCCTTCGTCTTGGGGGGAGATTGGAATGTGGATCCTGACAAGATCAAGGAGATGGGGTGGGCTGGTAAAGTTTGGGGCCATGTCGTCTATCCTTCCACCTACATATGTAAGTCCACGGCCAAAGTCTGGAAAACCATTTCTTTGTGATGTCGGCAGGTTTGGCAGCGAATGTGCACTCTTGTCACGTCAACAGGAAGGCTTCGACCAAGCCGCATTGGCCAGTCATTGTGCAGTTTAAAGGCAGGCCGATGGAACACCTCGTGAGGGTGCTGAAGAAGCCTGCCGCCTTCCCCAATGAAGTTGTCATTGGACCTAGGCCCGAACCCAGGGAGCATCGGCTGCTGCTCGACCAGGCGCGACAGCGGGGTGGTAAGGAAGCTCTTGATTGGTGCCATCAGCAGTTCATCGTGGCCCTCGAGGTGGAGTTAGGCGAGTACCGCGGGGTGTCGGATCAGAAGAAGTATTTCGGAAGGTCCAAGGAGCCCGAGTTTGCGCAGGTGCCTGCTGTGAGGACCTCGGGAGGCAAGTACCCTGTTGGATGCCCGAAAAGCAGGGGATGGAGAAGGGTCGCGATCTGGTTCCAGGAGCTCGGCTACCGCAGGGCTAGTACTTCGGAGTGGGGGAAGTCTAATACCATGGGGATCCTGGGGCAGATTCGACGTGGGCCACGTCAGCTTCGAGAGCGGCATGAGCGGGAAGGCTGGAGGCATTCCTTCAAGCAGGTGACGCAGGCAGATGTTCAGCAGCTTTGACGCTGGAGCGACGAAGCAGGCAGTGTTTCAGCAGCGCTCGAGAGAACGTTCGCCTCCGAGCGCTCCAAGCAGCGGCGCGAGCGGGTCAAGCAGGCGGTGGCCAACGGAGGGGGCCAGGCCCACAAGTACAGTCAGGCTCCACTGGGCTGGGTGCCTGGGGCGCCCGCTGGTAGTAAGAAGTCCGATGCCCCCAGAATTCCCATGGGCCCGCAGGAGCAGGTTGACGACTTGTACAACTATTGGACTGGCCATTGCACCCCGCCCGAGGCGGCTCGGGGCTTTCCCGACCCGGTTGAGTGCCTCACTGGCGAGATAGATAAGCAGGCGCAGGAGCAGGATTGCAGGCTCGAGGACCTCGTGGGCCCCCCGAAGTCCCCCGAGCAAATCAGATTGGCAGCCAGGAAGATCAAAAGATATACCGCGCGCGGCCTAGACATGTTCAGGCCCAGGGACCTCGACAACGCCACCGACGGGATCCTCGAGGTCTTGGGGGAGCTCTGGTGCTGGATGGAGTGTCTTGGGACTTACCCTGTCTTGATGCAGACCCTGGTCCTCGCGATGCTAAGCAAGCCGCGCGGAGGTTTTCGACCGAGAGGCTTGCCCCCAACCCCTGCCAGAGTTTTCTCGAAACTTGATAGGCATGAGATCCGCGCTTGGGAGGCCTCCGTGAACGGGCCCCACAGGCACGGAATCTCGGGTAAGAGTTGCGAGAGAGCGGTCTGGGAGCAAAGATTACTGGTCGAACAGCATTAAGTGCGGGAGGATGCTCGTCAGCGTGCTTCGTGAATTTAACGAAGGCCTACGAGAAGGTGAACCACTAGTTTCTCGCCCGTGCCGCCGTCAAGCATCGATATAACTTAATTCGGTTGCGGTTGAAGCTGCCCCTGTACAGCGGCAAGCGTTTCATCAGCATTCTAGGTGCGTGCGCGGAGGTGGCGGAGGTGAACTAGGGAATATTAGCGGGATGCGGGGAGGCCACTGGCTTGCTCAGCTGCCTGTTGTTAGAACCTCTTGATCTCACGCGCGAGCACTTCGGCAGCGTTGCCATCTACGACGTCGTCGATGGTATTACCCTCCAGTCGTCAGGTCACTCGTCGCAGGTCGAGGTCAGGCTGCCGCGTGCAGTTTGTTTACTTGCGCACGATGCTGGGAAGACTTTTGCTCGTGATCTCGCAGCCCAAGGGCCTGGTGTTGAGCACGCATGCCAGCACGAGGCAGGTGGTCGTCAGTAAGCGTAGGAAGTGGAACTTCGAGGGGGGCCCCTCTGGAAGGAACTTGGGATGCGACCAAACCATGAAGGCCAGGGGAACTCGAGGGTCCAAAGTGCTGCAGGCTAGGCTGAAGCGCCTGCAAGGGCGCAGGAGTAGAATCCGTGGTTTGAACAGTTCCAGCAAGGGGATGATGAGGGTCGCTCGCTCAGGGGGTCCCTGCGTCAGCTACCTATGGGGCTCGGGTACACGGTATCGCTACTACGAAAGTCAAGCAGATCAGGAGCGCGGCGGGAGCTGCTGTGTTCGGGACCCCCAAGGGCAGGTGCAGGACCCTGGAGTTTCTCCTCAGCGTGGAGCCCAAGGCGAGCCCTTGACACGGCTCGAACATGCTTCCGCTCCTCATGTGGGGCCAGGCGGCGAGGAGCAAGTGGGCGGAGCCCAAGGTGATGCAGCAGAGTTTCCAGATTGCTTCCAAAGATAAGCAGGACTTCGACTGGAGCCAAGCGCGAGGTCCTGCAGGTGCGGTCGCCTTGACCCTGAGAAGGATAGGCTTGGAACCGAGGGCTTGGAGCTTGTTTGTGACCAGGTCAGGGTTGGAGATTGAGATCACCTATCTGAGAGGCCGACCGCTAAAAATGATTATGGAGAGGGTTGTTCGGGAGCACATGATACTGAGCCTCGGGGACGGTCGTATCGAGGGCCTCGACGATGGGCCGCTGCTCGAACCTGTGATTGACGTGCTCAGGGATCTGCGGGCGCAGGGCAGGTGGCAGGCGGCAGCGGGTCTCGCGGGCGTGGTCTCGCGGGCGTGGTCGCAGGAGGGTGCCCGACCCAGGACAGGCCCTTCCAGGACAGGAGGGTGGTAGACAGCAGGGGCATGCTGTGCATGACCGACGATGGGACATCTCTGCATAGGTTCAGATGCCCCGCCCATTGGCCACGAATTCGGGATCTAGACGTTCAGGAGTTTCTGGACGTACCTGTTTTGCCAGGCACGGAGGTGCTCCACGCGAGGGCGCTATTCCCGAGCGCGGCGTGGACGTGGCCCACGCCGTACCAACAGGCAGGATTTCGATGGAACGTGGTCCTGCCCAACGGTGCACTCGACAAGCGAGCGTGCATAGACGGGCCGGGATATGATCAGGATCAGCCTTCTCTTGCCAGAGCAGGGTGGGCAGTGGTCTCTGTCACGGAGAGCGGACTTGCTGTCGGGGCTGCGTACAGCCCCCTAACGCATGTGGTCCAACTCGCAGGAGCAGGAGAGGCCCATGCTTTCAGGATGGCGTTGAGGTTGGCGGGCTCGAAATAGCTACTGACTGCAAGATGGTAGAAGATGGTTGGGGGTTCGGGCCAGAGCAGAACCTTGAGGATATCGCGTATTCAGAGATTTGGAAGGAGATGTTCGACATGTCAGAGGTCATCGAACATGAACTGATTTCAGTGAGTAGGGTTAGGTCTCACCTCTCCCTCGGCCAGGCCCGTAGGCAAGGAGCTAGCGAGTGGGCGTGGAGAGGTAACCAGCGAGCCGACGAGCTAGCCAAGCTTGGGGCCCAGGCGCATCCCACTAACCCACTAATTCAAGCTCAGCTCGCGCGCAGTAGTAGTCTTGTTAAGCAATCGGCCTGGATGATAGCTGAAGTTATGAGTGATTTGTCTGCCAGGGATTTTCCAGATGTCACCAGATATCAGAGGCCGCGCAGGCCCAAACACCAGATTTTACAATTTATTCCCGAGCCCAACGGGCACTTCCGCCGAGAGTTGCGAGGACGGCTCAGAGGAGCCACAGGCTCTGGCTGGGCGGGGGTAGGGTGGAGTGGTGCTCGTGGTGTGGCGCTTTCGGGTCCGCTCGGTCTCGGCTCCTGGGGGCCCCTTGTGAGAAAGGTCTTCGCAACCGTGCTGCCGCGCATAGTCTTAGACTTCTCAGGGATGGGATCGACCCCAACTCAGGAGCGAGCTTCGGGAGGTCTTCCCCGTTGACATGGTCGGCTCACGCGGGTTGGACGTCCGCCACCGCCTGACCCCATTCTTTGTCCTTGCCATCGGTGCTGCTTTTGGGCTGCCTTATCGCTCAGCGGTAACGGACAGCCACAGAGTCAATAGAAGCACATAGGAGGAGGAGGAGGAGGAGGAGGAGGAGGAGGAGGCAGAGAAGGAAGGAGGAAGGGACAGCAGGATAACAGAAGAGGAAGGAGGAAGGAGGAAAGAGGAAGGAACAGGAGGGAGGAGGGGTCCAAGACCCACGCCAGCTCAGACAGGTCACTGAACCGTAGCGGGCTTCAAACTCAACCTCCTCCATGTTGTGCTGCTTCGCAGGCAACACAGGCAGGGGGATTGGTCGCACAGCAAAGATAAGACCGAGATAGAAAAGCTGGCTATAATCCTCGGACCATCTCTGATGTAGACGGGCACCGTCCTAACCACCCTGCACTCCGTCCCAAGAGTTAAGCCCAACTGCGTTGTTTCCCGTCTCGTTCTATCTCTCTCTCTCTCTGTCTCTCTCTCTCTCTCTCTCCCTCTCTTCCTCTCTCTCTCTCTCTCTCTATCTCTTTATCAACAGCTCTCTCTCTCTCTCTCTTTCTCTCTCCCAGACCGTCCTCTCCTACCGCCCTCCCCTCCCTCCCCTCCCTGCTCCTCCAACTCCTCCTCCTCACGCCCCCTCCCTCCCTCTCCGTCGGCCTCCGTCTCCCTCCTTCTCCCTCACTCCGTCCCTCCCCCTTCCCTCGCTCGCTCGCTCGCCCTCTCTCTCACTCGCTCTATCTCTCTCTCTCTCTCTCTCTCTTTCTCTATCTCCCACTCGCTCTCTCTCCCTCTCTCTCTCTCTCTCTCCCTCTGTCTCTGCCTCTGTCTCTCTGTCTCTCTGTTTGTCTCTATCTCTTTCTCTCTCTCTCTCTCTCTCTCTCACACCCACTCTCTCTCTCTCTGACTCTCTCTCTCTCGTTGTATGTCAATGCATATGTCTCTCTCTCTCTCTCTCTCTCCCTCCCTATGTCTCACTATATCCCTGTCTCTGTATCTGCCTCTGCCAGCATGTATGTGTACATCGTGTGATATAAATGTGCATGCCGACATGTGATTACTTACATACGCGATAGAACTACATAACACAAGCCAGTGTACATGAGTGCACGTACGCATGCGCATTTGAATACATATACATGCACCCCCTCCAAGCGCCCACTGAACGCGCTGTTTCATACATGTAGACATACATGCGCCTACATGTATTACGTTGCATTACAATGCAACGCATCACATTACACTACACTACATTACATTACACTACATTACATCACATTGCATTACATTACAGTACTTTACATCACAGTTTATTACACTACAATACATTAAGTACAGTACATGACACTAAAACTACACTACACTACACTACACTACACTACACTACACTACACTACACTACACTACACTACACTACACTACACTACACTACACTATTACGTTACATCACATTGTTTTGCACTACCATGCATGCATGCATGCATGTATGCATGCATGCATACATACATAGGTACACACAACAATACACATATACATACATACACGCATGTGTGCGTCCTCTTTTGACATTCATATGCGCATACATATACACATATGTGCGCGTGTCCCTATATACGTGTGCAGATAAATACGCATACTCATACACATACACACACGTAGATGTATACACATCGATGCATATATAGATGTGTACATGCAAACATGGCGCCGTTCTGCAAACGAGTCTGCCAACTCCCGCTCCTCGTCGCAATTCTCGAGCACCTCGTCCAACAGCGCAAGCTCCGCCGCACAGGATCCGTCCACATCCTGCCCAACCCTCGGTCAGTGCATCTCGTGCTCGCAGGCGGAACACAAACACATCCTGCGTAAGGTTCGATCTCATTGGAGGTCCTCCGACCATCCTATGCCTTTGGTTGGAATCTGCAGGAGAAGGAGCAAGACCAGAGCAAAGAAGGTGGAGCAAAGGGGGGCGTGGAGGAGGGGGATAGAACTGCACCGACATGCCACGCCCAGGCCTCCGACTATTCGCTGGCGATCTCGACACCGTCCCCGAGGCTGGTGTTTCATCCCGAGTCGTTGTTTGCCAACCTTGGTGCACGATAAACACCGTCGTCGCCATTTTCCCCGTAGCCAAAGCTGGACGGAAGTTGCCTGGGGGTGAATAGACAAGTGGCACGCGTGCGCTGGCTCTTGTGCGATCAGGTAGCGAGAGGGCCGGTGCCAGGGCCAGGGGTGGGCCAGGGGAGTGGAGACGAGTCCGAGCTCCAGGGCCGGAGGGAGCGAAGGGCCGGGGGCCACGGGAGGGGGGACGAACAACGACCGGCACAAAAATAAAGAGCTCCGCCCAGGAGCCGGGGGGGGCGAGGGGGCTGGGGCCAGGGCCAGGGGAGTGGCGACGAACGACGACAGCCACAAAAATCCCACCAGCCCTTTGGGGCGTAGGTGGTTTAGCGTGTTTCCTCTTCCAGCACCCCCTTCTTCCTTCCTCTTCGGGGAGGGGTTTATCACTCTTTCCTGATAACAAACGCCCTCTCCCGCACCCGACCGGCAGCCAATCTGGACCCACGCTGGCACCCATGAGGGCACCCCTTCCACAACCATACAACATACACTTTGCCTCCAAAACTGGAGCAAGCGCGGGCGCCCCGCGACCACATCGTAGTGGATTTTGGAAGGGACGGCGGGGGTGCGGGCACATAGTTGCTGCGCGCAGGTCAACCATCCCTGTCAACAAACAATACAAAATACATGTTGTCTCCGAATCTGAAGCGTTCGTGGGAACCCCACGACCACTTTGCACTGGTCGTGTACAGGGACGGCGGGGGTGTCTAGGGGGAAAACAAACCTACCTCGCTTTTGACCGCCCTCGCTTCCAAGAGATACCAAGCGATGCCAAACTACGGCCTGTACTGGTCAGGCCGCTTGACGAGGAGGCGCGTGGTATGACTTGGTTTTGCCTGGAAGAGAAAGGGGGGTAGGTAATTCACGCTCTGAGTGTCGGTACATCGTTTGCCGTTCGCAGGCGAACCATTCCTGCCAAACACGTAGCACATTTGGCGCACGTGCCTGGCGCGTCTGGCACGTTTGGGCCTCCAGGGAGCCTGGGATCCGTGGCGCACATAGGATGGATGCATGGCGCCAAGACGATGTGCCAAGACTCGGGTGCTACGTATGTGTTGGAAGGGCGGGTGGGAGTGAGGGAGACGGCGTGCGCCTTGTTGGCAGGAGGTGTCTTAACCCCTCCCCCTACCCTCTCCCTTGGACCTGGACGGGGAGAGATCGCGGGTTGTTGGAGCATTCAAGAAGGCAGCAGTGAGAAGGCACAACAAAACATTGATGTTCGGTAGGTTGTGGGCAAATTTGGGCCTCCTGGGGGGGGAACCCGAACTTGGTACCCCCCCTTCTTTGATCGAACTAACCCTAGAGCGCTCCAAGATGGCCCTCGCGGCTCCCAAGAGTGCCCCAAGAGGGCGCCGGGGAGGCACGAAGACGCCCGAAAGAGGTCCGTAAGACAAGAGATCTCAAGAGGCCCCAAGAGGCTCCCCCGAGGCACCCAAGACGCTCCAAGAGACCCGCAGGACAGCTAAGGGGCCCCCAAGACGCCCCAAGGGGGCCCAAAAAAAAATTCAAGAAACATCCAAAGACATTCCGAAGGCATTCAAAAAGTGTCTGGCGTTGTCGCTCCACCTCCTCCTCCTCCTCCTTCCCCTCCTCCTCCTCCTCCTCCTCCTCCTCCTCCTCCTCCCTCCCTCCTCCTCCTCCTCCTCCTCATTCCCCTCCTCCTCCTCCCTCCCCCTCGTCCTCCTCCTCCTCCTCCTCCCTCCTCCTCCTCCTCCTCCTGCACCTCCTCCTCCTCCTCCACCTCCACCTCCACCTCCACCTCCACCTCCTCCTCCTCCTCCTCCTCCTCCTCCTCCTCCACAAGAGCTGGGCCATGCGATCTCTGGAGTGATGGGCTCCGCGATTTCTGGTGTACGGCCATGAAGGGCTCCTCGGTTCTTGCCGCTGCGCTACACAGAGCCTTCCTCGACGAATCCGCCTGTATCATGAAATTCACAATTGCTACGCTGCTCGTGGACTTAGAAAAGTTCTACGACCACGTCAAGCTCGGCAAGCTTATCGCGGTCGGCCTCGACGAGAACTTCCCCGCCATAGTGCTCTTGATGGATACCCAATTTTTCCTAGCGCCCCGAGCCCTTCGCTCGCGCAGCTGGGTGGGCGACCCGATCCAGGCTTGGCAAGGGAATATGGCTGGCTCACCGAGGGGCACTACTCTGGCCAGGCTCTTCTTGCCCCCGATACTCATACTCACTCATGCACAACACCGAGCTGAAGCTGCCTTTAAGTGGACCTTCGTCGACGACACCGTGGCGAGGGCCGAGGGCACCGCCAAGACAGTCCACCGACCTATCCTGCAAGCTGGAGTTGCCCTCAAGCAGGCCTTGGACAACGCCAAGTTGCCCGTCTCGTCCAAGAGCGTCCTCCTCGCCAACAACACCAAGGTTCGAACTTCCCTGGCGGACAGGCTTCGCAGGGCTGGACTGCCGCTCTCCACAGCCACGAGGCCACCGACCTCGGCATCGACACCAGCGCGGGTACGCGTCGAGTGCAGCTGAAGGCAAGGAGCAGGGCAGCAGCAGCCACCTCTCGCGCCAGGAGAATAGCACGCATGCGACGGACCGCCCGACAGGCACGCGTCTCCCACGGACTCTGGGCCACTAGAGCCCTTTCCACAAGGAGTATATGGACACCAGGTCCGAGGCCTCGCCCGCCACGCCCTACTCAGATGGCGACGCCTAGCCGCTACGGCCACGGCGGGCCAGGCAGCTGGCCGCTGCCTAACCACTCTGCTTGGAGCCAGCTTCGATGGTGCAGATCCAGGAGTACAACTTTGGCTGCAACTACTTCGCGAATAGCCTTCATTTTTGACAAGATCACCCTCACCTTCACCTGCGCATACGACGTACGTGGACTCTCCTCAAGCCGAAGTTGGTCAGGGTCGGGCCACGGATCTGGTCACACGTCACTGGACCCACTGAAGCCGCCATCGCCACGCTGCTCGAGGCTGGATGCGAACCCCACCAAGCGGACCTCTGGCAACGAGCGCGTGGAGAATATCTCGAGCAGTGCACACTACCCACGGATGGAAGCGAGCTTGCCGACCTCGACGTGCAGACTATCCTCAACGATCTCGCAGAGGACTTGCAAGAAAAGCTCTGGCAGGACGCGGCTCGACATCTACACGGAGAGAGTCTCGAACGGGGAGCCGACCTGCACGCCATCCGAGCAGAGCAGCGCCGCTTCCTGGCCACAGGAAAAATATCATCTTGGGCCCTCAATCTCTGCGTCGTCTCCGGAGGCCAATGGCCCAAGCAAGGTCTGAAAGAGGCAGGCTACCAGCTAAACCCGATGTAGCTCTGGGCTGAGTGAGGACTTGGTTCACCATGTCTGGGTTTGTGAGGCCAACACAGGTCCTGAAGTAGCGCAGTCTGCCCATCTGATCCCGCGTGCGTTGGCCTGCAACGATCAAGATCCTGCCCTCTGGCTGAGAGGGGTCCCTCCCTTGTCCTCCACCTCCCCTTCCTTCGAGCCTTGGGGGGCGGGTGAGGGCATCGTCACCATTGGAGCCGACTCGGACTTTCTCTGGGAGGGCCACCACGACACAGCCTCGGGACGCCTCTTCCTCTTCGGCGATGGCTCTGGAGGAGCCTTCTCGGACGATCCCAGGAGGCGGAGGTGTGGCTGGTCCGTCCTTTCGGCGTTCCCAGACGGTCCTGGTTCCTGGAAAGAAGGTCAGGGTCTCTTCGGCCCCCTCGAGGGCCGCCGGCAGACAGTGCCGCGCTCGGAACTCACGGCAGCCGCCATCGCTATCGAGCGCAGCGTCGGACCCCTCACATATGTAACAGATCATAAGCCGTTGGTAGATGGCTGGCAGCAGGGCTGGGCCACACGAACCCCTGGACCCTGGACTCGTAAGCGGAAGTATCCCGACCTTCGGGCTAGGATCCGCAGGGCCTTGGAAGCAAACCAGGACGCAGTGTTGAGATCGATTGGACCCCGTCCCATCTCGACGAGACTCCTGATTGAATCACTAACCAATTTTATGTTGCTGGCAATGCACTGGCGGACGCCAGAGCCTCACAAGGAGCAGCTCTTTGGGACATTCGCCGTGCTCGCCCTGCCCCCGACACCGACTCCGTGGATGCCGCAGCTGCCCTCGTTCGAGCCAGGTGCCGTGCTGTATTGCGTTCCCTCGGTCACGACAAGACTCAGCGAGGGGAGCGCCCCTCCACGGCCAGAGTTCCCGCTCCCTCGGCCCGCGCGTTGGCGCTCTCCCAATCTTCCCACAAAGTCGAGCGATGCCACCAGAGGTGGCGTTGCGAGGTCTGTGCCCTCCTGGTTGATGATTGCAGAATCGAGGAGGTAGCCAGGACGACCTGCCCTGGGCCCCCTGCCGTCCCCGCCCTAGAGACTAGAATGTTCGGGGACGCTTTTGTGGTAGAAGCTGGCACCCGTGAGCTCCGAGGCCTGGTGGCCCACGCGTCTCACCGCCTTTTGGAGGTCCCTAGGTGGCAGCTCCTCTTCTGCACCACGTGTGGGGCCCACGGCACTCTCCAATTTCGGAGCCTCGTCCAGCCGTGCGGTGACCCCAGCCCCGAGGGCCGTGAGGCCCCCGGCCGAATCCAGCGTGGCCTGCACCCCTCCCATAAGGCCCCTCCCCCCCCAAAGTGATTCTCGAGGCGGAGCGCAGGAGCTCCGCCCAGAGGGCCCGCAAGAGGGCCCTGGGCGAGGGCAGGACGGAGGAG